GACTTACCTCCGCCCTCAAAGCCTGGCTTCTATAGATCCTGGCTCTGCAGGGCTCTTAAACACTAGGGCTAGGGAGGCATCTAAGAGGGAGATCCGGGAGGAAGGAAAAGGTGGGCCAGCTTCCTCTGGAGTCACGCAGCACTTGTCTGGCACCTGACCTATGCACAGAGCTGACAGATGGGCAAGAAGACAGGGAGGCCCAGGAGGGTTCCGGCACGGCCAAGGCCCAGAGCACGGCCCATTTGGAAACTCATACCTGGGAAGTGATGGGCATTAGTGCAGAGAATTCTGTGACCCTTAATGTGAGAAACAGGCCTTTCCCACATAGTTCTGAAGAAGCATCTATGCTATTTGAAAAACTGGGCAAATGCACTGTTACCTCTCCTTCCAATAGCTTACCCAACATCTTCCAGAAAGTGCCTAGTGATAGCCCACACAGCAACAAAAACGGCTGGAGAACCTGAGGATTAAAAATAAAGGGAGGGGCAAAGGATAGAGGACTCAATTTTCAACACACAACAAGGAATAAAATAATCAGTTACCCCTGTCCAGGTACTGAGTGGAGGCCAGAGATTTGGTTTCCATGGAAACCCCTTTGCCATCCTATTAAACATGTGGCCACACGCTTCAAGGATGTCACTCTCCTTTGAGGGTGGAGGCAGGATCAGACAGATCCCGAGGGCCCTTTAGGATTTATGGTCTCCTGAGAGTGTAGGCAAGACCCTGGAGGGACCTTAACAGTGAAGGAGAAAGGGGACAGGGACCCTGGGTCAACTCGTGAGGCTGTGGAGGGAGCTGGTAGAGCCCTGTTGAGAATAGGCATCTGACCGATGGGGGGGGCTGTGAGGGGCAAACACAGGCAGTGGGATGGAAAGCTGTGGTTTATTCCTCCTGGAACCTGGCGGGGGCACTGTGTGCCTGCCCTCAACCCCTGGAAACCAGTTCTTATCTCTCTTGCTGACCCCCAGCTCAGGGGAGGATGACCACTCACCAGGATGCAGAGGATCACAGGCCCTCGAATGACCCACCAGACAGATGCATTGGCATTGATGTCCCAGCACCTGTGGGAGGGACAGACAGGCATGGTTAAGAGGGGGGCCAGGCTGGCTGGCAAAATACATTCCCTGAGGTGGCCCTTGGTATGAAGGACCCAGGCCTGTGGCCCTGCACAGTGTGTGCCCAGTGCCTTTAGGACCTGCCCCTCTCCTGCCACCTAGGAGCGCTGCAGGAGCCAAGGGAGTGGCCACCTGTCTCTGTGCATGTCTGGGAGACCCTGGGTCCCAAAGCTAGCTCCTTGTCAGAATTCATGGGAAGCATATGGCAGGTCAGCTGCCAGCAGAGGCCAGAGAGATGATA